CTGATTTCCATGAAAAAGTGTATGATGGGAGATTGCCGATCATTGTCTCTTGTTTCTGATCACACAAACCGATTACGTTTCTCACTTCACAGCCTGCATGTGCAGCTGATCTTCTCTTTCCTTCACACTGTGCAGGAGCACAGCAACAAATCCTAAGCGATGTCGTGTGGAACTAAAATGGTTTGAGAGTGATTGGGGGCATTTGCATGCTGTGGTAGAAATCTACCTTGGGGGTGAAGCACGTTACAATGCATCAAAAAAATCTAATATATTGGATACTTGACGGAGTTTGGCTACATCGAGGCTCACCGCAGGAGGAAAATAGACATCCGGATCAGCCAGACAGCAAATAAAGCAGCGCACAACTACCAACACTCATCGCGATTAGCATCACGGTCAGAAAGCTAAACAAAGAAGTGGGGAGAGGTGGTTAAAAAGTTCAATCTCCACAAACGGAGAGACGTATTGAGTTGGCCTGCGTACCACCCGCGTTTCCTTCCAGCATTGATAGACCACAAATATAGAATATGGGTGAAACATTCACTAATGTACCTTATTTTCCGGACTATAAGTCACAGTTTTTGTCATAGTTTGGCTGGGGGTGCAACTACGGAGCGACTTATGTCTGAAATTATGAACACATTATTATATCATAATACATGTTGTTTTCACACTAAACCGCAAGAGGGCGCTCTAGGCCTGTGTTCTTCTACCTCTGGAGTTAGCGGAGTTGTTTACAAGCGACAGCGAAGATTTATTGATTTGGAGTGACACGGATTGCTTGGTAAACTTGTTAGCATGTTATTGATGCTATAACTATAGCATCAATAACTATAGCATCAATAACATATCTTAATATGTTAACGTACCAGGCACGTTCTCAGTTCGTTGTTTGTCATATAACGTCAGCATACTGTACAATTATTCAGCCTGTTGTTGCCTCTATTCTATTTTTATTTTAAATTGCCTTTCAAGACGAAATGTCTGTTCCTGGTGCTGGATTTTATCAAATAAATTTACCCCAAAAATGAAACTTATACTCCAGAGCGACTTATATGGCTTTTCCTACTTTATTATGCATTTTATGGCTGGTGGGCTTGTAGTCCGGGAAAATATGGTAATTAAAGATGGGCAGCTAGTAAGATTTGAGGATTTGTGTCGGACTTATGAGTTCGACACAAATCCCTCGCAGGGAAGATTTTTACCGTTTTTTTACAGCTCTGAAGCTTCCATCTATGCCAAAGCAGAGATGGAAGCCGGATGGGTCCCAATTCTCTTGCTGGAGGGGGTGTGGTGTGGTCCCTGCGGGCTACTTTCATATTTTATGGGAATGTCCAGAGTTGAAGACCTTCTGGAAGGACGTTAATGGAGTAATATATGAAATTATGGGTATAACCATAGATTTGTCATTTCTTGCTATGTACCATGGAATACTTCCTGAGGGACTCAGTGATGGGGACACGTACCTGTTGAAGATATTTCTGATCGCAAGCAAGAAAGCGATGACTAAATGTTGGCTCCATTCTAAACCTCCACCCTGAAGCTTTTGGTGAATATTATAAACCTGATCCACGATATGGAAATGTTGACTTTTACAATACGGCTCAGGAAGGAGAAAGGAGAGAACTTTGGGAAAGATGGGATGATTTTATTGCCAAAGGTGTGTAACAGTTCATTTTTGTGACTCCACACCACTTGGACAGACACCTGGGAGTTTTTCTGTGTTTATTTTTTGTGAAATGTCTATAAAACTGTAATGCTCATCAGTATGAATGCCTGCCACCTGCCCTAACTCTCATGTTTGATTGTGTGTGACTGTATGTTTAAAAACGGATAAAAATAAAGTAAAAAAAAAACAAACAAACAAACAAGAAAGCCAAATAAATAACACAAAAAATAATTCAAGTCTTTGAGCTGATGGTGTAAGATGCTGGTTCTGCTCCTGCTGTTATTTCACAAATGAAGTGCTGCTCAGCCTTCGCCAGACAGTGAACTCTCACACAGAACTTCTGCTCAAAGCTGCACCATACAACGTCAAAAACAAAAATTGTTAAAATGTATTCAAATTTCTGCAGAATTACTCATCTCGATTGGCTGTTAGAAACAGCCAATCAGAGATGCTAGCTGTGCTTTCAGGAAGTTTTCATTTAGTAACTGTAAGAAACTTACTAAAATAAACTTTAGTAAATTTATTTTGATGCAACCTACATTTGACTTTGAATGAATGTTTTTTGTTCTTTACATTATGTGATATTGGCAATGTTGTAATTTGTGCTACTGAGAATCTTACTGTCAAAAATAGTTTTACTGATTGCAGGTTGATCAGTTGTCCTTTTCACTGAATAGCTGCTGTATTTTGCCTGCAAGTATTTTGCATGTTTTATGTCTAAATGAGGTGAATTTATTGCCAGATCATGTTTCTATTTTGCCAGATGACATTGTAGCATTTATACGTCAAGTGAAAAATGAACAGCCAATCCAGGAGATCGGCAGTGATCGGCCCTAATGGGTGATAAATATTGGAATCGGCAGCAAAAACACCTAGTAATCAGCCATTGGACATTATGTAATGCTGGTCACATTTAGAGCAAAACATAAATGTTCAAAGCAGCTGCTTATGGCCCCATACATGCTGACATTTTAACTGATCAAGAAGTTTAACATTTGTTCATCAAGAATGTTGATGTTGTTAAGGTTGATTTAATAGTTTCAGCATAGATAAATAACCTTTTTATATATTAACATTTAAATTAAAAATTTTAAGGAGCTGGCAAGTTTATTTTGTAAAAGTGTAAAGAACAATCTTCGTAATAAGATTGTTTTCTTACTCTAAGTACAATTTGATGCTATGAGTTTAATTTTTATGATTAATTATGTGATTGAGTTCAAATATATCTCATTATTGAGATATATTTGTTATCTCAGCGTTGAGAATAACTTCCTTTGCTGATAACTCCTCCATGTGCAAGTAGAGATTTTCTCCAAGAAAACTTTTCAAGTCGTCCAATTTGAGTGAGAGGTGGGACGCAAACTGTGATGGGCTGTTTAGGAGATACATTATTTTCTCTCACGCACACTACTACTACGGACACACACACACACACACACACACTCAAGACTAACATGGCACACATACACTACTAAACTATCACACACACAAATTTTCTCCGCCACACACTACTACAGATTCACACACACACTCTTACAATTCTAAAATTGTACATTTACAATATTAAAATATTTTAATAGTGTGATATTTCACACTGCCTAACCGCCACCAGACAGTGAACTCTCACACCAAACGTCTGCTAACAGCTGAAGCATGTAACTTAAACAAAAAAAGATTTTAGATTTGTATTGAAACATGTCTGTCTAAATTAGGTGAATTTATTGCCTGATCATTTTTCCATTGTGCCAGATCACATAGTAGTATTTATACCTAAAGCGAGAAATGAACAGCCAATCTCGGTGATCGGCAGTGATCAGCCTCATGGATGACCGGTATCGGAATCAGCAGCAAAAAACCTGATAGGAGTCTCAGGTTTAGAAACCCTTCTTTTGACATATATTTTTCTTGTACCTAAAAAGAGCTAGTAACTTTTAGTTGTCTGACCTTCAACAGTGTAGATTATTTACATATTTGTGTGAATTTGCCATCTGGAGGTTTAGAGTAGTCAGACAAGAGAAGGAATATATGATGAATATATGAATGGTGCTGGATCAGCACTGCCACGTCTCCAATGTAGACACAACACTTTTAGACGTCTGTGGCTGATATTAGCTTAACAGTCTGCTGTGCCGTTTGCTCCTCCTATAGAATTGATTTCTCTTTGGTAGCTTCATTTTCCTTTTCTGTGGCAAACATCAGATTTCATCCCTGCTGCCCACTCTTCTCCCTAAGTGTGATGTCATATGCTGAAGAGTGAAATGTTTACTTACTCACTGTTAGCTGCTAGACTAAGAATTGCCTTATTCCTATTCTTCATTTTAGGACCAAAATGAAGACTATTGCACACCCAGCAGTGGCTACTTCCATTCTATGTCCATCCTGAAGTCGGCTACTGATTTGTTATGTTGGTACCTGAAATTGAGCAGCTGGTGCTGGCAAATGAAAATGAGGCACTTCACCTACCTTGGCTTTGGAGAAGCTGGTGACTGTCATGCCGAGACTTGTCTTCTGTTGGATTTCCTTATTCCTATTCTGTCCATTAGCATGGATAGGCTGGTATTAGCATTGGAAATCCTATTGATCCCACTTATGCTACATTAGTTTCCAAAATCTAAAATAGCACAAAACAAATGCTTTATATGTGATGTTATACAGACCAAACTCACAAAATTGTGAGTTTGCTGTGAATTATTTGGACAGCTCCAGCTTTCGGATCTTGTTTTGTCCACCATTCTCAGTGTTTGCTTCCATTCCTAGTTCATATAGACTATTAGGATCATTTGTGTTGACAACAGTTGGGTTGCTCAAGGCTAATTATTAATGCCACAATAAAATTTGTTGCTGTAAGATCTCATTAAACCCAGACCAAGAAGAGAACATTGTGAAATATCTATGGTAGATTTTTAGATTACTTTTTGCCATTTAGGTGTCATACCTCCTTCTGATCTGCCATAAATAATTAAGAGTTGTTATCTGGACAATTTTCTATCATAACTATAATTAACTGTAATAATACAATAGGGTTTGCTATTTCTACTGTCTTCTTCCACTGTTGGTGTCATGAGAGCATAAATACATATTGATCTATTCATGCAGGTATTATGTGCTATTTAACTGTACAGCTACACTACAGTACTTGATGTAACTAGTTAGCTTATTTTAACACTCTTAAAAGTCAAATGTATATTAGAGACTGACATGTAAACATCTGGAGTCAATGTTAAAACTAACAGAAATGATTGTTGGTAATTTATTTGAGGGGGTGGGCATAAGACTGACTGACACTAAATTTCAGGGGGACTTGGCTAACGCTTTTTTCCCGTCCCCACAGATCACCAGAAGTTGGAGCGCGAAGCCAGGATCTGTCGCCTACTCAAACACGCCAACATTGGTAACTGATTTATTTTCCAGCTTATTGCATCTCTCTGTCTTCCCTTACTTTGTGTTGTACTTTTGATGACCAATATAGATTGGTCATCAAGAGCCAATCTACATTGGGTCTTGATGTGGAGCAAATTTAGAAATGGACAGCCGTCTGGTTGGGAAGCAGCTTTGTGGTCATTAGTTTCTGATCTGTACAACTGAATGTTTGATTTGATGCTTGTAGAATAAAAAGCTTCAGTTTGTATTTTTCAATTCTTTTAACTCAGCTTTATTGACAACTGATAACATACTGGAGCTACATCGGTATGTACCTTAGCCTTAACGGTGCTTTTCAACCACTGCAGGGTGTCCCCAGTGTATGAGAAGCCTGGCGCCCCCCTGTCCCCTTCAAGCTAAGCATTACTGATGTTCGGTTTTTTTAAGCTGGATTGCAAGTATATCTGTTGCTCTAACGTTTCACTGGCAGAGCAGATTTATTTCTTAAAGATAAGTTTATAGAAGATAGGTTTATAGTTCATGCATTTAAAGCTGGCTGGCGCCGCTGCTTATGCGCGCGCGCCTCCTTTCATTCAATCTGGACACATGCTGACCTGTATGGATATTTACATCAACCCCCTGTGATAAATTATGTTTCTTTGGAGAACTCTACATCATCAACTGTAGCAGAGCAGCTTGTAATGTAGGAATCATCTACCAGGATAAATTCATTCTCCTGTCTCTTCTCTGGGCCTTTTCCCTTCGCAAAGAAACTTTCCAAAGAATCTGATCTGTTTCTTACTCATTTTGCTGCTTGAAGGATTTTCAAAATAAAAGTTCCTTCAGACTTATTTAATACATAAAACGGAAATAATTATTTCTTGCGCGGTCCGGTACCAATTGGTCCACGGACAGGTACTGGTCCACTGCCCGGGATTTGGGGAACAGTGATATAATACAACATTTTGTATAATCTTACATACACCGTACTCAACAGTCATGTTCCGTTTTTTTCCAGCTCTCCTCAAATGTGTGATAAAGACTTGGATCCCTGGAGTCATATTCTGTCTCCCACCCAGCCCCTCCTGAAGCCCTGTGACTCTTATTAAAAACTCAGCAGACATGAAATGGAAGAGCTACTAAAGCCACATTAGCAGCATTAATTAAATTTCCCTCATCTCTGTGCGCAATGCAGCAGATTTAACTCATCATGCAGGGCCGGTCCAAGGATTCCTTGAGCAGAATTTTGCTGCTAAACTCATCAGCACCTCTATCAGCACTAAGATTTAGTCAAGTCTGGGATAGGGGGAGTAGTTTAATTGGCCAACCTAAAAAGCAGTAAATTATAATTGCAGTTTACTAATTTGTATTTGTGAACAAACTGACCTCAAACTCAAAGAGTAAACTCACAGCACCAGATTGTTGCTATGAATTTTGTTCCTTGAAGTTGTACAAAGTAAACATTATCTTACATATAATTGTTAAACAATTTAAAATGGATGGATGTTGAAACCATCCATCTACCCATTTTCTTTTGTTGTCCCTAACGGGGCCGGGAGGTGCTGGTGCCTCTCCGGCTACGTTCCGGGCGAGAAGTGTGGTCACCCTGGACAGGCCACCAGTCTGACGCAGGGCAACACAAAGACAGACAGGACAAATAACCAGGCCCACAGCGACCCATTTAGCTAACAGTCATGTTTTTGGACTGTGGGAGGAAGCTGGAGTACCCAGAGAAAACTCACGCATGCACAGGGAGAACATGCAAACTCCATGCAGAAAGCCCCCAGGCTGGGAATCCAACCCAGGACCTTCTTGCTGAAAGGCAACAGTGTTACCAACTGCACCACCGCAGAACAGTCAGCACATCACCCCCAATGTTCTATTTTTAGCAGCACAACATCTGGCAGCTAACTCCAAAGGGGTTAGCTGCCAGACACACAGCTAACTCTGCATGCTTTCTGTGATAATCAAATTATACTTTCAACATGTGGAGGTTCACTTGGCGCAGGGCAACACAAAGACATGTTCAGGAGATCACCAATTAAAACTTAATTCGTCTCTATTCAGTAAAAATGTATAGCTATTTGTGACTAGCATTAAAATGTTATTGATCAGAGAGATGGAATGATATGAAAAGTTTCATATGAAGGACCTTGTGAAAATCTGTGAAAGTCCAAATTATTTCTGGAAAATGAATCTATTCAGAGATTTTTTTTCATAGAGCATTACTGACCAAACCGGTTAGAGGCGGGCTTGTGGAAAAGTGCCTAAAGTGTAGCTAGTGTCATTTCTGACATGTCTGTCTTTGTCTGTCCTCACAGTCCGGCTCCATGACAGCATATCAGAAGAAGGATTCCACTATCTGGTCTTTGATCTGTAAGTGCTGCTTCTTTTTTTCAAGTCATTTTAATGTCCCAATCAGACAGTTAATTCTTAGCTAATGCAACTGTGCTACAAACTCTTACAAAACTTGTGAGAGTTTTGGAGGTGACAAAAACGTTGCACCCATATCCTCATGAGAGTTGAGGGCGTTTACATTAATCCATCCTTGTTCTTCCTACAGGATTTTAGTGAGTTGTCCAAAAGTCTTTGCTTGGAAATAGCCTGGTAGAAATCAGCCCCTTGTTTTACGCCGTTTGCTTTGTCCAGAGGCTCTAGGCTCTCAGCTGTTGTGAAACGATTGCTTCCTGGAGGTTTGGTCTGTGTTGAGATGTTAAATTTTAACTTTAACTGCTAACACTTGTCCATGATGGTAGGAAGGCGCCACTTTGATGCTAAGACGCTTCCTGGAAGTTGCCGGTACTGTGAACAACCGTCCTCCACTGTGAAAAGAGAAGATCTGAGCGAGCTTTGATGTTAATTTAATATTTGGAAGTGCAGCCAACATGGACTGAACAGCTTCGTTGACTTTCTCTACTGCCGTTGCTAAGATTACAGACGGAATACAATTCTAAAACAGGACAGAAAATTGTCATTGTTCACTACATCTCCTTCTGTTCGCCCAATAAAAAATCTACCACAGACAATCTGAGTCAAGGGAAGAAAAAAACCGTCTGAGTTGGAAGCAAGAAATTTTTTCTAGTGAGATTGCACAGGAAGGCATTGACCAGGCTGGTTTGGAGATGAACTCCCATAAAAAATGGCCAAAATATTAAGTTGTCTAGTTACAATCCATCCATCCATCCACCCATCATCCATCCATCCATCCATCCATCCATCCATCCATCATCCATCCATCCATCATCCATCCATCCATCCATCCATCCATCCATCCATCCATCCATCCATCCATCCATCCATCCATCCATCCATCCATCCATTTTCTGTTCAGTTGGTAGCACTGCTGCCTTGCAGCAAGGTTACAATTCAACATATAAAAAAACAACATACAGATCAAACTTTGTGGAGTTTTCCTCTCTTTTTTGAAAGCAATACAAGTATGAACACTTTTTATTCAGGTTATTTTTGTGGTAATAAGTTTGTGTGGCTTAATCACCAAGGGCTAATATTGCTGACCTTAACTGTACACATTCCTACCTGTATTTGTTCGATGGGAATTATGGAGTTTCTGCTAGTGGTGTACCAACTGCAGATTCCTCACCAATCACAGTTCTTTCTGCTGATGCTGATTTAGACCAATACCTGTTTTCTGCCCTCTTTTTCTGAGAAGGAGAGTGGTTCATTTTCAGACATTTTAGCATCCTGGTCCCAGAGGAGTTTAGCTGAGGGGGGCACTGGTTTATGGTTTACCATCATCTAAATACATAAACAAACCCTTTACAGTAAAATATTCATGTTTATTGATACAAAATAAGCCAGGATGTAAAGAGTGACATGTGTAAAATCTTGAGTGATTCTGCTCAAATTTACATTAACTTATGTGTTGCACAAATTTAAGAATCTAATATTTCTAATCTCTGAAGTCAATCAAGGCAATATCAGTCTACTCAAGTAAGAGCAGCAATGCTAATATTACTCAATTAAAAGAGTACAGTGCAGTAAAAGTACTCGTATAAGTAGTTTTTTCCTAAAAGTTTCTCATATGAATGTAACCAGACCTGCTCACTTAGGGCTGGTTACATAGTAGAATATGCTACTATACTAGTAGCATATTCTTGTTAACCAGCTTAATGTGATGTATTGACATCAATTTCTTATCATTGAACAAATATTACCTGCATCCAACAGCATTACTCAACTCACTCTGTTAGCTTAGGGGGGAAACTGTACAAATGTATTTGCCTTTTGTTGGTTTGCTGCCATGATTCTAACCAACACTTGAACAGCTCTACATGTTTTGTTGCTGCTGTATAAGGTGTAAAACCAGCATGAGCATCTTGGCACTCATGTTACATTTAAAGGCGGCTTGGAAAAACATGTTATGACATGTTAACAATAGATTAAATTGTAATGGATGAATGTATATTGATAAAGGGGGTGTGGGAACCCCTATTGTATCAAATCGAGATAGGAAGAACAGAAAGTTGGATAGTTGGACACTCTGAGGTAAAAAACAAGAAAAAAAAGAGAAGAAAACTTCCAGTGCACGATTGACTCTGTGGATGGGCAATGTCCCCCCCGGTTCTCCCCAGGGCCCGCCGGGCCCCCCGGGCCCGCCGGGCCTGCCTGCTGCCTGCGAGAGAGATGAGATTAGTAGGCCATTTGTCAATCTTTCAAAATGAAGGAAATCTGGGCTGATGTATTTGTGCACTCCTAACTTCAGCACAGAATCAGTTTGGATGTAGAATTTGATAAAGTGTGTTTTTGTTTTTTTCTTCTGCAGATATGGGAAGAACCATCTGATTTTACTCTTTATCAAACTATGTCACATGTTTTCTTGTCACCAGAGTCACTGGTGGAGAGCTGTTTGAGGACATTGTTGCCAGGGAGTACTACAGCGAAGCTGATGCCAGGTCAGTGTTGAGTCTGATCTTATGATATTTGTTGGTGAAAAATGTTATACTTTGTACTTTGAAGGTATATGGAAGCACAAACTTTAGAAATGGAACAATTTGATGTATCGGTATGAATTGTTGAAATCTGTACACATCACAAATTTTTGTACCTATGTGTTTCTTATGCTTTTAAGACGTTAATCTATTTCGTTATGGCAGACCTCTTTTATTCTCCATCTCAGTTTGATTTATGAAATATTATCCCCTAAAAACACAATCTTTATGGTCTGATGATCTAACCTCTGTTTCAGATTAGTAGAGTTTAATTTCATGGTTCACACTTCAGCCATTTGAGATGCTTTTTCATTGAGGAGCTTTGGAGTTTATCACCATCATTAGATGATGACACTTTAGTAATTGTGATCTGATAAGATTTTGTTTTGGTGTGGATTCTGTTGATTTAAAAGGTTTTATTAATGTCAGCTGCCAGTTTGTTTTGTGTCATGACAACATGTGTGTGTTGTAATTGTTGTATTTCATCCTCTGCCTGTAAAGCAGGTAGGAAGTGGCCTGGCTCCAGAAACCTGCTACATCTACAAATTCACCAAAATATTCCAATTTTTGGGGCTTATTTTCTTGCAGTTATTTTGCAGTTTTTTCTGAGTTCTGTCTTGATGGAATCATTTTTACATGGAGAGAAAAAAAGAGATTACATTTTCATAAAATCTTTATACTCTCTAACGATCTTTGCACTGTTCTTGCTGCAAACTCCTTGTTGTTGGTTACCTTAAAGCCACCTATATGATAATTTAGTTAGCCTGGGAAAAAGTGTTTGTTGAAGTGTCTTTAAAAAACAATAGTTAAAAAAAACATTCACACAGCTCACTCGTCTCATCTCGTGCAAATGATGAATTCCCACCCAAACCTTTTAGTGCGGAGCAAATAAATGGCCACACAGCCATTTATAATATTCATATTACAAAGTTCTTTTCTACCAGGAAAATCTTTTTTATTTTCATTTAAAATGATAGCTTTTTAGAGGTGGCATGTTGTCCTCAATAGACAATAGTGACTTATTGCCTTCCTGTGTTTCAAATGATTTATCTGCTTTGAAAAACAATGGGGAGGCCAGTTTTGATTATTTAAATATATTTTCACTTGTAAGTGAAGTATATTTAACATAAACATTACACATATTTGTTATTTAAGCCCTATAATAAGCACATTGAGGCCCACAGTCCCAACAGTTCCACTGAAAGCTGAACTGTTCACTGTGCTGATTTCTGTGCTTCTATATTCTGTCAGTCTGATATCACCTAAACTCTCTCTTTTCCTCTCGTTTTTGCTTCTGGGCTGGTGTTTTTGTCTCCTCTGCAGTCACTGCATACAGCAGATTCTAGAAAGTATAAATCATTGCCACATAAATGGCATTATACACAGGGACCTGAAAGTCAGTGAGTGCCCACTCAGCCCAACTGTGGCACTTTGCCTTGCTTCTAAAGTCCCTGATCCATCGACCAATTACTGTTCCTCTGAGGGTCGCCTCTGGCACACCCTGAACCTGCCCTTTGCTTGCTCATCTGCTCTGCCAGATTGCTTCACTGCCCACCTGTGGCAGAAAGATGGAGACAGGTTGGCAGAGAAGGAGGTGATGTATGGAGTAGTGCTTTCAGCCCGCTAGACATTGCTTGCTTCAATTTTACACAGAGCACATAATGCATGTAGCCCAATGTTTAAGTCACACTCCGACACAGGCAGGGACCAAACAGGTGATGAGGCAGAGGAGGGACAGCTTGCTGTTTTGACATCATAATAGAATCAAACAGTAATGAGGGGCTACCGTGACATAGCTGTAGAAATGAAAAATTTTATGTATAAAAGCTCTTTTTTATGTTTTAAGTTAGATTAAAGCACACTGAAAAAATTCCATACATTTTAAAGAGTTTTACGCACATGTACGCATCACATTTATGCTATCAATTTCAATTTAGAATTTTTTTCAATGTCTGGACTGACAGAAATTAATACCAGATGAGTGCATCTCAAGTGTTTAGGGGGATGGTTACTGTGGTTGCACTGCATGGTCCTGTTGATGTTAAATGTGATTAGGAGAGAATGATGATAGTGAGCAGAAAAGCTGAGGAACAAAACTTCACTTTATATAAATAGCAAAAATCTACAACATATGCAATCCAAAGGGACACTGCAAACAAAAAAGTCAAATCACATATATTTTCAAAATGTATCTTATCAGTCAAGCACTGTTTAGCATTACAATTAGTTTAAAAGGTTTTCCTTCTTGGGTAAACCCTTCAGGTTGCATCGAGTCATTGAGTTGCAGAATTCACCCCTCCTGACCAGCACATAGCAACAGTGTAAAGGAAAACTCCCCACCAACATGACAGCAGAACCAGAAACTGGCTAGCATTAGCTTCCACTAAACACCATTTCAGCTTAGCACTTACGCATCAGTGAAACTGATGTTGATAATTAGTTCTGTAAGTTTAGCACAACTAGCTTTTTAGTTAGCAGCGACCACCAGTGGTTAAAGTAATACTGTAAAGTGTCTTCATTAGCACCAGAGTAAAGAATTTTCAGTGTTAATAAAATCCTGATGGTCTGCATTATGGCTCAAACTAACATCTTTGTAAGGAGAGAGAGGTCTATGGGGAGCAGAAGGGAAGCAGGAATAGGTGTACCACTGTCTTCCTCCTCCCCTCCATGGTCCTTCCTCCGCTTGGTCAGGGTTGAAACCCACGTTTTGACACCTGAACTGAAAATTGGCTGTGTTAGTTCAGCTATTACAGCCACAGAGAAACATCTCCAGAATCCTGTTTAGTATGTAGATCACTTTCATGAATGACTCTTGATTGTGGTCAGTCAGACTTAACCTTCCTGCTCGGGCTCACCACGAACAGGCCACCAGCTGCCCAAGTGTCAAAGCAAGCACAGGCATGTATAGTATGTAAGAACTTGTCACTAACTGGAGGCCCTCTGGTGTTTGCATGCAGTCATTGCATTCAACAGATCCTAGAGGCTGTGCTCCACTGCCACCAGATGGGTGTGGTTCACCGTGACCTCAAGGTGAGTGGACACATGTTTACGTCCGTGTTCTGTCACCTCACTCTGCCTCTTGTTCTACTTTTGGCTGGTTCTTCACTTCTACATCCAATCAATCTTTTTCTAACTTAATTGCCAAACTATTTGGTTTGAAAATTCAGCTGATGTATATTTAGAATACATTTCCTGTGAACAATTTGAATTAGAATCATGTTGCATTCAACTTTTTTTCTTCTAAATTTCTAAAGTGAATGTTCCTGAATGTGATTTGTTCAGAAAGATCTCATTTGGCAACCAAATGCAGCAGGTGTGTGTGCAAGGTTTTGTTTACTGTCAGGAAGAATAAGCTTGCTTTTTGCATTGGATGACTGCTGCCTCTTAGTGACCTGATTGGCTATTGCTAGGCAGCTGCAATGGCTTGTTGTCAAAACTCTAAGACAAACAACTACAGGGAAACAAATTAGCCCATCAACAAATAATGGAGAAAACACACACATGTACACGCACGTCGATTGTGGCACAGCTGTGTCTACTATCAAGTAACTTGGCACCAACAGTGTGTGAGTGAATGGGTGAATGACTGTAGTGTGAATTGTTTTGGGATCCTCTGGACTTGATAAAGCGCCATACAAGTACAAAGTCCATTTACCATATTTCATAGGGCAACGGTGGCAGGAGTTCACCCTACAATCAACAGGAGGGTGGATCTGGTTCGATCCACCCTCCACCTGCCTCTGTCGTTGTGTCCTTGGGCAAGACAAGGACACAACTTGGCACAGTGACAACTGTGCTTGGCAATCTCACCTCTGAGTCAGACTGCTGGCTTGTAGTGTGTGAATGACTAAAATGTTGTGTGAAGCACTTGAAGGGTGGGGTGACTATTGTTGACCACATATAGAGACGTGACTTGGTGGGTCGACCCACTATTTCAAGGGGACATTAACTGATTTTCAGTCTAATGTGGAGGTAGAGTAGATTGGTGCATAAGGTACATTTTTCTTGCAAGTTTTGACCAATAACTCAAAACTAAGGAAATCGGGACCACTTTATTGGCTGGCCACTTTATCGGTGCACCCCTATTGACCAGGTCATTCCTGAGAGCATCATCTTATGTTGTGGCCTTCTATTTCCAAAAACCAAAATTTCCAATCAAGGCCGTGGGTGTTGACAGGTGGTTTGATTTGAAAGCACTTCCAACTTGAATGTTTGAAAAAAAAAATCTGATTTATTTCTTGCAAAAGAAGTGACAAAAATAATTACTGAAGTGTCTTAAAACTTAGTCAAAACAAAAAATAATCTCCAAAGTGTTCCTAAAAAGTGTCCAAAAAAGTGGTCAAAAAATTATTTACAACCTCCCGTCAACACATTAATTCCATTAATTTAATGTAAGGGTCTAACAATTAACAACATAATCTAAACAATTCCAAATATAAAAATTAATTACAAATCAACTCAAATATATTCTAACTATCCACTTGTAAGTGGAAGAAAACTAAATTAGTAGAAATTACAATTCACAAAATGTAACATAAATGGCCACGACATCTTATGTTTTCAGATGTGCTAATTTCACCTTAATCCAACTCCAACCTTCAAAGAACGCAGTGTGTGCTGGGCATTCAGCTCTTCATTCCGTATGCATGGTATGGTTTTTCATATCGGACCCAACTTAATTTCAGCAGCTACCAGGAAGAGTGATGTGAGCTGGAAATGAGCTCCCCCTCCTGCATATCATTGAAATGTTTTCTCAGTTTTGGGACCAGGGTCTTGCTGGTTGAACAGTGATTGCTTCTGTAGATGAAAAACAAGTCATATTATCAACTTCCTCTCAGATTCACCATCCATATCTACTTGTCCTCCGTATAACTCATTTATGGGAAGAACTTATTGTCAAACCTCCATTTCTGAACATTCATTGAATAAATGAATGGGAGTAAATGATCACTTTTTACCTTTGTTGTTATTTTACAGTCTGTTAGAGTTTGGCTAATTCCAGAAATTGCATTTTTTTTGTGTGTGATTCACCTTCTCTGAAGCCTTTTCCATCTCGGCATTAGTCACATTCTTCCAAGTATCTGCTTCTTTCTGTTTAAGCAGAATCCATCAGCATCTCCCCACTCAGCTGTTTGGAGATCAGACGCTCACGTCCCCTTACTGAAGTCAGCTTATTACTCTGAGGCATGAGTTGGTTATTTAGCAGTTTGGATTCTAGCTCAGCTGAGCGCTAACTCTAGTCTTTCATATCATCAGGAAACGATAATAGGGTTTCCCCGAGAAAACTTACTAAGCCTAGTGGTCGTGGCACCAACACGGTCCGTCTGGCTTATAATACACTGGGGGAAACCCTTCACAACTTTTCCACCTTTACTTTTGGTTCCAACTTTTGAACTTATTGTTACATGATTGTGCTGCTGTGAAATACTAAAGGTATATTTTGTTTCTCCGATCCAAGCCAGAGAACCTGCTGCTAGCCAGCAAGCTGAAGGGAGCAGCAGTTAAGCTGGCTGATTTTGGCCTGGCTATAGAAGTGCAGGGAGACCAGCAGGCATGGTTTGGTAAGTACAAGCTTTTTTTTTGTTTGAGTGAGATAGGTAGTACTTTTTTTCCCTGCTTCTTCCACATATCTATGCAGTTAAATTAATCATACCTCTCAGTCCAAGAAAATCATAAGGAAGTTTAGATTAAATCCACTATGAATTAAATACTTGCTAACTACATTGCCAAACTGAGTTCCTGAGGAACAATAAGCACCAAAAGTAGAGAAAACCGTACATCTCTCAGCGAAAGCCATTCATTAGAAAGGTCCATCTTATTCATATGATTAACTTTGCTGGAGTTATGTGTATGACTTCTGGTGAAGAATTCTTGCACGTACAAACAGTTTCTTGCAGAACATGTACAAATAGAATCTTTTATATCTTCAACGGAATAATATAGTCACATCCAAGCTTTCTTCTTTCATACATTGGGAGGACAGCCTGAAAAATGTAACATGAATGGCCTCTGACTATCTCAGTGTATTTAGATGCTTCTTCAACTCTATTGTTATGCGCAGCTCCTAGCAAGCTATAGCTGTCAGAAGTTTGCTATTTTGTCACGTTCCCAATGTAACGGCCCAAGTCATTTTTGGCTGAACTTAAGCAAAACATGGCCATCTCTTTCTTGCCAAAAGATGATTTAGGCAACATAAAAAACACTTTTTGTTAAGTAAGACTTAGGCCATTATTTTAGAAAGCTGATGATTTGTCCATTTCCATTGTAAAAGCAAGCCATACAGCTCCAATTCAGTTATAAGTTCAGAGGACAATGGTACCTTATGGTTAGGGTGGAGCTTCTGGTGTCACACATCACTGTCCATGGATTGGGAGACAGAAAAATGAAATTACTTGTGACAAACACTATACATACCAATGCAACATATTTGTTGTTACATTTGAAGGATGTCATGTTAAGCCCAGTTCACACTACACGAGTTTTTGACCCCATTTTGCCCTTACAACAATCTTAGAACATTCTGAGTTCTAAGATTGTCACTTCCTGTAGTGTGTGGTGTGTTACGACTGATCGGGTCCAGTCGGTAGAACGTCTTTACCACTTTGATCTAAAATCGGGGATATTCAACATGTTTGATCGTCTTGGCTCGTTCATCGCAGTGTCTGTGGCGTTCCCCCGACTGGAGCGAGAAGGCAGCCTGGTGAATGTGACACACAGCCAATCAGAAAACGCTGTGTGAAGAGCAAGATGTTAAACATTATTTTTTTACTGACGGGCTCTCTGAAGAGTCAAAAGCTTAGCTTTACGGTGGTGAATTACAATGCCCTTGATGAATGAAATTGTCATAAATTTGTGGAGTGAGTGGTGGTGAGGCAGACGCTCACAGACCCAGGATATGGTGAATGACAAAGATTTAATGACAAAACAGTCCAACAAACCTGGCAGCACGGCTGAACGGAAGCCAGGGCTCACACCGGTAGCACAAGTCTAACGAATGGACAAGGCGACGACAATGACAAACAGTGACAAGGACCCGACGAGGAACAAAGGACACAGGAGGGATTAAATACACTGAGGGTAATCAAGGGAACACGACTCACTTGTTCCCTTCCTGTCTTCCCAAAGGGAAGACAGGACAACGAGGAGACTCAGGACACTGAAAACACAAAATAAACACAGGAGAAAACCCGGAACATGACAGTAATGTGCTTTAAAGGTAATTAGATCTCATCAAACCAGAAGTAAAGCTTTATCCTTGTTCGGAGCGGCATGCTATTGGATCGTTTCTTTTTAAATAAAGGACAGAAAAACGATCAAATTATTGCTTTTAAATTGACTAGTGTGTGGTTTCTCACGTTTTAAGAATCGGCCGACTATTGTAAAATTGTGTTGTGTGAACTGGGCTTTAAGTGTTTTGGTTTAACCTCATCATCCCTCTCCCTTTGAGGATCCAACTGGTAGTGGAAAAGCTCTTCTGAATACGCCACTCCATAAAATGGCGTATACGTCCCAGGGCTGTACCACTTGTTTCCACTGAGTGGTACGGAACGTTTTCACGTAAAACGAGGTAACTCATTACTTCTGAACCCAAAAATCATTCCTGATCTGCTCTCAGCAGCCATATTTTCAGGCCTACCATATAGAGAAGCTCGTTACCTACGTGTGCCAGGGCTAATTTTCTCTACAAAAAAGAAATCCCACTCTCATCTACATCATAAAGTCAAGCCATGTGGAAGCACCTGTGTGGGATGATAATCGTATGTGTAGAAGTAAGTGTGCTTGTTTTGTGCGGGTATGTGAATTTGTCACCTGGAGGTGCAATGTTGTGAGAACAGTAGAGCGGCTGCTACACTAGGGAGTACATGCATATGAACACAAGACACCAGCCCATAGAAGCCAATACGCCCCACACTGAGGCAGGTCTGTGTGGGGCGTACCTACCTTGTGCAGATATGCAAGGGATCAGCAGCCTCCAGGTGAGATGTAGGGCACCAAAACCCCAACCCAATCCTTGTCCTCTGCACAAACCCCAGGCACCTAGGTTTCTCATTGAAAGCCTGAATAGCAGCACAGTCAGCCAACAAATACATTGGTTGAGGATTTTTGTATTTAGTCAAATAGTCATGTTCAGTAATTTTCAGCTTTGAAAGGAGCAGTATTACATTAAATCAGCTTTACATTATGTTTTAATGTTATCCCTTCATCATAAACATATCTGGAGTGTTACCTTAATTCTTTCATGCATGTTTGAGGAATCCTTTAATCTTCATTGCAACCATTCAACTGCAAAACACCAAATGGACCTAACTCCACCTTCAAGGAGCAGCTTCTCCTCAGAGCTGCAGTTTCTGGCAGAGCAGTCTTCCCCTGCAACTCCTTCAGTTCCACCAGGTGATGCCAAACGCTGCTGGCAAAAACCTGCTGAGCTCCATATACAAGCTACTTTCCAGTGCAACACTGGTAAAAAATAATGTCAAAGAGTTAATAGAGTAGCCATGTTGTGATGATTTACTGAAGGCAGAGTTTCAAAAAGAGCAGACGTTTTTAAAGAGACAGAAGCCTAATTTCAAGGTGTAAATTTTGAAGTCAAATTTCTTCTAAGTCATATTTAATCAATATAGCAGTTTTTAACAACTGAAGGGAACAGTTACTGGATGCAATGCTACAAAACAACATTATGTGCCTGGGAAGTGTATAATACTGACTATTTAAAGAATGTTGGTAGATTAATGAAACCAGGTAAAAGTTAAGAAACTTGACATAACAGAAAATCAGTTATTGAAAAAAGAGAACTTGCTACATATGAGTAGGTATAAAAATAAGCTCAGATTGATCACAGAAAATTCCCCCCAAAAAATTAATCCAATAGCATCACCACCAAGAATTAGGTGGATTTGAATATGGGGGAATTATCGTCATTGGCATGGGTGCAAATAGTGGAATGTATCTGGTTTTTCTCCATCAGATGCTTTTGATAATAATCTATGCCAGTTCTTGGCTTATTCCTATACCACTGTATTAGTTTATTTAGCTTTCTGAAGAGCTTAGGTGTGGAATCTGAGATGACTCTCATCTCAGATTCCTTTTGGCTTCACTTCAGAATGATTTCTCTCTCCCCATTCCCTATAGACCAGCGAAATAATTAGTCCAATCCCTGAGCACCAGTTTCTAACTGGAACCATTTCATGTTGTGTTCTGACTTTACTTTAAGTTGTGTTCCTTCTCTTTGCCTAAGGATGTGATGGTACTGTGAGGCCAGTTTAAAACTAGACAGCATGGTGCTGACGCTGAGCCAGGGGCTCTACATGGTGCTAAGTGTTTTTCTTTCTTCCAGCTTGTTGACCTCGACTTACAAACCTGGCTTTTTGGGGCATTAATCTCTGGGTCCAGTGAACTACTTGTTACTGAGAGGTTTTAAATGGACTTTCTCACATCGCAAATGGCCCAGTTTAATATTAATGTGTGTTTGTCTGTTTCAGGTTTTGCAGGCACACCAGGGTATTTGTCTCCAGAGGTCCTGAGGAAAGATCCATATGGCAAGCCTGTGGATATGTGGGCCTGTGGTAAGGCTTTCTGCACATTTCACTTCTATATTTAGAAAAACGTGCTACACACACACACACAGACATATATACAACTTTATAGTGAAATTGTGTGTAATAGAATCATATTATTACTAAAAATAAGTAACAATAACAGAAAAAATCAGTCCCACTTGGCTCCGTAGTCACCCCTGGGGCTGCTTAGTTTACATATGCTTTGGGCCGTCCCTGCTTCTGTATGTCTGTTATGTCTGTTCTTCTGATCACATGAGTCATAAACTGTTCTCACAGAAGTCTAATTGCAGTCCCATTATTCAAGTGTAAATGACCAAATAGAAAATAATATTTCAGCAAATATGTGGAATTGAACATCAGGAGCAGGTGGTGTGAAAGTAGCCATTGACAGTAAATGGATCAAAATACAACAGAGATTTTCTGCACTGTAATGATAAAATACAGTCGTATCCTGCTAGAAGGTGGTTGTGTATTATCACTGCAATAATTAACATGATTTACAGTTTCAAAGATACAACACAGCTAATGTATTGCAGTGGAGAAGCAGATGACTGGGTTGGCCATTGAATGTGTTGGACAGCTGAATGTAAATATCACCATAAATATGTTCATAAATTAGATTGAATGAGCACTATATTTAGTATAGTTGCTCATATCCAGTTTCTTTCTGCTCTGTAGATTTGTGTGCGTGTGTGTGAGTGCGTATGTACGTGCATGTGTGTGTGTGTGCCCAGTAAGCTCTTGAATTAATGGGTGCTGACAGCCACGTCACACAGGTCCGATTGGCCAAGCTACCTGGATCTGAGATGTACCACTCACTCACACACACACTCTTTTGGACACACTTGCGCTTACCAAATGAACACACAGTATCAGTAGCCTTTCATCTTTTCCTGACAATCAGCCGACCAATCAGAAACACCACTCCAGGTAGCACCAGCAAACACAATCATTGAGCGGGTTGTCCTTTGATTATACAGTGTTCAGCTGTTTCCTGTTTGGTTCCTTTCACTATGGTTTCTCAATAACTGGCACTCTGTGTGCAAACATTTGTCTGAATGAAGGGATCAAATAATAATCAGAAAAAATGATCAATTCTGTAATAAAATACACTTTTGAACATGAAATTTTCTTCTTTGCTTTTAATTTTGCATCCAATGAAGTCTCCTTTAATTACACTTTATCCTGACTTACTTTTAATTTATGCTTTCATGTGCAGATTATCTTTGTTATAAAGCTCTTTTTCCACTATCTTGTTTGTTTTTGTGTTTTTAGGGGTGATCCTCTATATTCTGCTGGTAGGATACCCTCCGTTCTGGGATGAGGACCAGCATAGATTGTACCAGCAGATTAAAGCTGGAGCTTATGATGTGAGTTTTACTCTGAGGGTGTGTGTGCTTGTCTGTATTGTAATGACCAAGCCGAGGTCCAGAGCCGAGACCACATCATTTTCTTCCTCAGGGCCAGCTGGCAGTCAGTGATGGTGAGTCACGGCCTGAAAGGAAGTTGACCTAATGGAGGATTTCTTTTTTTTCCAACATATATTTATTGTCATCGTTTCGTCGGATCTGCGGGCGTATGTCTTGGACACTCGAGTGAAGAGTGTCCACTGACCACTACCTGGTGGTGAGTTGGCTCCGGTGGTGGGGGAGGATGCCGGTCAGACCTGGCAGGCCCAAACGTGTTGTGAAGGTCTGCTGGGAACGTCTGGCGGAGTCCCCTGTGAGACGGAGCTTTAACTCCCATCTCCGGCAGAGCTTTGAACATGTCCCCAGGGAGACGGGGGACATTGAGTCTGAGTGGACCATGTTCCGTGCCTCCATTGTCGAGGCGGCTTATCGGAGCTGTGGTCTCAAGGCTGCCTGTCGTGGCGGCAACCCTCGCACCCATTGGTGGACACCTTCGGTGAGGGATGCTGTCAGGCTGAAGAAGGAGTCCTATCGGGCCTTTTTGGCCTGTGGGACTCCGGAAGCAGCTGATGGGTACCGGCGGGCGAAGCGGCGTGCGGCTCTGGTGGTTGCTGAGGCAAAAACTCGGGCGTGGGAGGAGTTTGGAGAGACCATGGAGAAAGACTTCCGTATGGCTTCGAGGCGAGTCTGGTCCACCATCCGGCTTCTCAGGAGGGGGAAGCAGTGCAGCACCAACACTGTTTACAGTGGGGGTGGTGTGCTGCTGACCACGACTCGGGACGTTGTGGGTCGGTGGGCGGAGTACTTTGAAGACCTCCTCAATCCCACCAACATGCCTTCCATTGAGGAAGCTGAGCCTAGGGACTCTGGGTTGGGCTTTCCAATGTCTGGGGACGAGGTAGTTAAAAAGCTCCTCGGTGGCAGGGCCCTGGGGGTGGATGAGATTCGCCCGGAGTATCTTAGGGCTCTGGATGTTGTAGGGTTGTGTTGGTTAACGCGACTCTGCAGTTTCGCATGAATATCGGGGGCAGTTCCCCTGGATTGGCAGACCAGGGTGGTGGTCCCCCTGTTTAAAAAGGGGGATTGGAGAGCGTGCTCCAATTATAGAGGGATCACACTCTTAAGCCTCCCTGGCAAGGTCTATTCGGGGGTACTGGAGAGGAGGGTACGTCGGATAGTCGAACCTCGGATTTCAGAGGAGCAGTGTGGTTTTCGTCCTGGTTGTTGAACACTGTACCAGCTCTACACCCTCAGCAGGGTCCTGGAGGGTGCATGGGAGTTCCCCCAACCAGTCTACATGTGCTTTGTGGACTTGTAGAAGGTGTTTGACCGTGTCCCTCAGGGTGCCCTGTGGGGGGCTCTCCGGAAGTATGGGGTACCGGGCCCTTTGATACGGGCTGTCAGGTCCCTGTATGACCGGTGTCAGAGTCCGGTCCGCATTACTGGCAATAAGTCGGGCTCGTTCTCGGTGAGGGTTGGACTCAGGCGGACAGGCGGATCGGTGCAGCGATCCGCCTGTACCGGTACGGACCGGTACAGCGCCCGTGAAGCGGGTGCTGTACCGGTCTGTCGTGGTGAAGAGAGAGCTGAGTCAAAAAGCGAAGCTCTCGATTTACCTTTCGATCTACGTTCCTACCCTCATCTATGGTCATGAGCTTTGGGTAATGACCGAAAGAACGAGATCTCGGTTACAAGCAGCCGAAATGGGTTTCCTCTGTAGGGTGGCTGGGCTCTCCCTTAGAGATGGGGTGAGAAGCTCGGTCATCCGGGAGGGATTCAGAGTAGAGCCGCTGCTCCTCCACATCGAGAGGAGCCAGTTGAGGCTCGGGCATCTGGTCAGGATGCATCCTGGACGCCTCCCTGGTGAGATGTTTCGGGCGCGTCCCACCGGGAGGAGGCCCCGGGGAAGACTCAGGACACGCTGGAGGGACTACGTCTCTCAGCTGGCCTGGGAACGCCTCGGGATTTCCCCGGAGGTGCTGGAAGAAGTGGCTGGGGAGAGGGAAGTCTGGGCCTCACTTCTTAAGCTGCTACCCCCGTGACCCAACCTCGGATAAGCGGTAGACGATGGATGGATGGATGGATGAATATATTTATTGGTTATTTCTGTATTTTTAATACAGACAAACAAGCAACCATACAGTAACCATATCTCTGGTTGGATAGTGTGGTCCGACCAGAGATATGTGGTCGGATCACATTTCTGTCAGTACTGAGTGTGAAACCACTACCAACAACTGTGTGGTAGTGTCTCCAATTAGGCACCAGAGGTTTAGGAGACGAACTTCGTTCGTTGTTGGTAGTGGTTTCACATTCAGTACCAGTCTTGTGTGAAATTCTGTTCCCTCCTATTTCAGGAGGGCGCATTGCAGTATCCAATTATCCAAATTCACCTCAATTTTTATTTTTATTTTTTTTAAATTATAGCCAATAGTGACACATTATCTAAAATGACACCAATCAATATAACCAATATGATAAACAACCAAGATAGCTGAAAAATGTATCATGTTGTAAGCATTTCATATCAGTTGATGGATAATTATTGATTAGTATTTTTGTTGTAAATATCCAAAATACTGCCAAAATACTTGGCAGTATTTTTTGGCAGTATTTTGCCAAATACTTTGGCAAAATACTTTCCTCTTTTATCCACAATTTCCTCTTTTTCTCATTTTCTTTTTTTAACTCCACCCCAATCTTTTTTTATTTTTAGGCAGTCCCACATACTCAGGCATACTGTATGTATTCTGAGAACTTGGCTCTGTGGACAGTTGAGATTTCATTGTCAAGCCTACCGACTGCCAGAATTTCTCATTACTAATTTCTTCATTTCCCACAATCACAATGGATGCCATCAAGTTTGATGAGCCAGTTGGGTGCCTAGCGCCATTTTTTTCTCCCTCAGGGCAACCACTTCACAACAGCCAGAGCTGCAGTGAGAGTGGCAGTCACACCATGTATTCCCGCAACTGTGTGTTGACTCAACCTTACCAGCTTGGTGTCTCATACAAATCAGCTTGATGTGAACACTGCTTCCTGCCAAGCAGAACCCTGTAAAAATTAGCCTATAATTTTTGGAAAAAGGCATAAACCTAATTGCAAACGCATCCAGCAGATGTCCACTTTGACTCCACATTGAGAACAGGTGGGCCTTTGAGGAGTGAAGGACACCCAAGTATGTTGGAATCTGCTGAGGTACATGTTACATAACAAGTTGTTGCTAGCAAACCAAAAAGTGAACTGGGGCTTGCCCTTGCTTGACTTGTACCACCTGCCTTGAATGTTCATGATAAAACTCCAGAGAGAAATCAGCCCACTTGTGTGTTCTCTTTAGAAACAAGTCCATGAAATTTTGAAGCCAACACCCCTTGGACAATGATCTCAAGCAGCAATGATCTCAAGTCCTTAAGGGCCAGAGTTGTGGAACGTTTAGATGTGTCCCTTGTCCTACACACTTGAATTAAATGGCTGCAGTGCCTCACTAGCTTACAGGCCAGTTCTGCAGAGCTCTACTAATGACCTAATATTGGAGCAGAGACATCTAGTTTGTATTTCTTTTTAATTCATGTAATGCACTTTGAACTGCCTTGTTGCTGAAAATGTGCTATATAAATAAGCTTACCTTACCAGAGGTCTGGTAAGGAGTTTGAGACCTCTGGTTTAGGGGCTCCATAACATTAATTTGTTAGTTTTTCAAGTGTGCAACCTAAGAAATTAACTGAAGGTAGGGATTAAATGTGCATAGCTGACCTTTATGTCTTCTTCCTAACAGTTCCCCTCTCCAGAATGGGACACAGTGACCGCTGAGGCCAAAGACCTGATCAATAAGATGCTAACCATCAATCCAGCTAAGAGAGTAACTGCTGCAGATGCTCTCAAACACCCCTGGATCTGTGTAAGTATCATAGACATATACCACTTCCTTGGTTCTCAACCTCCATGACTCATCTGATTTTCCAAGAGCCATTTTTGATGCCTTACTGTCTTTGTATTCATAGCAACGCTCCACCGTGGCCTCCATGGTGCACAGACAGGAAACAGTGGAGTGCCTCAAGAAATTCAATGCCAGAAGGAAACTGAAGGTAAAAGCCTGTTCTGAACTTCTGAACAGGCTTTGTTCACTTTGCTGCTTGAAATCAGAAGAGTTTTTTTCCTGAAATAGATGTTTAGATATTTTCCAGATCTTGTTCAACTAAGTTTTTTTTCTCACCCATTGTTTTCTGAAGGGTGCCATCCTGACGACTATACTTGCCACTCGCAACTTCTCAGGTAGGACTGAAAGACTTCAGAGTAAATTCTGGGTAAAACCTCAATTCCTCTTATTAATGTTGATTCCCCTGAAAGGCTAAAATAGCTAGTTTTCAGGTCTATTGAGCCCCATCTGTCCTCCGTTCAATTGCTACAAACTCTGAGCAAATCATTACAATCTAAGATATAGATCCCTTTCAAAGGGCAACCCAGCAAGACCCATTGGGTGTGGAGGGGTGCTGATTAATCGACCACCGATCATAATATGCTGATTTCTGTGAAAAAATGTCTGATGGGAGATCGCCGAACAATGTCTCTTGTTGCCGATCACCTGCGTGTGCTACTGATGTCCTCTTTCCATCAGACTGTACAAGAGCACAGCAACAAATTGTCTGCAACTATAACAGTCTGAGAGTGAATGGGGACGTTTGCGTGAAATCTATCTCGGGGTGAAGTACGTTACAGTGCATCAACACAATCTAACATGGCATTTCAAAAACAAATACTTGACGGAGTTTGGCTACATCGAGGCTCATTGAGGCTTTTAATGTCCTTAAAAGAAAGGACATTAAGAGCTACCAGACAGCAGGTAAAGCAGCGCACAACTGCCAACACTCACCTGGATTAGCATCACGGTCAGAAAGCTAAACAAATAACCTGAAAAATAATTCAAGTCTTTGAGCTGGCGGTGTAAGGTGCTGGTTCTGCTCCTGCTGTTGGAATGCCGCTACTGGTAGTAATATTTCATATATGGAGCGCTGCTCAACACAGAACGTCTGCTCAAAGCTGCAGCATGTAAAGCCCAGTTCACACTACACGATTTTTTTTCCCCAATTTTGCCCTTACGACAATCTTAGAACGTTCTGAGTTCTAAGATTGTCACTTCCAACAATCGTAACCAATCATCCTGTAGTGTGTGGTGTGTTACGACTGATCGGGTCCAGTCGGTGGAACGTCGGGACCGCTGCTATGGTGAATGAAATGTGCTTAATTAGATCTCATAAAACTATAAGTAAAACTTTATCCTTATTCGGAACAGCATGCTATTGGATCATTTTTTTGTTGTTTTTTTTAAAGGAAAGATAATTATAAAATTACTGCACAGAGTACATCTGGTTGAGAAGCGCATTCCAATCTTTGGTTGAAATGGCGCATTTGATTTTATTCTGCAGTCATAATACAATTTTAAACAATACAATAAGTTTCAATTAAAGGAGCTGGAATACGTTAAGCTTTCGCAGTCAGTTGGGGGAAAAGGAAACTGCCATCTGATTTTTTAATAACGAATATGCAGGAAATGCTTTCTTCTACTTTAAGCTGCTCTGATGTTTCAGTCATTCCGTTATATGCATATTCTACAACAACATAAATAATGAAAAATTATAAAATTATACGTAAACGGTAACAGTTAATTAAACGACAAAACCGAAAAATTCAAAACAGTATTTTTTATGATAAAAAGAAAAAAACCTCACCTCCATGTTGCGATGCAACAAACATAATCCTTGCTCGCGATGTCTCAGTTCTTAATCCAAAGCTTTGATTTTTGGTCAGGTCTTTTTTGGGTTAAACTAAAGTTACCGCTTCAACGTTGTTGTCCATGATTGTTTGTTTACTCTAAATTCAGCTGTGGTAGCGCAGAATTTTAATTTGAAGGGATTTCGTATCTGGAATTAGAATGTGTTCGAGTGAAACCTCACACTCTACAATCAAACCCGTTACACCTACGATTTTAAATTGGCTAGTGTGTGTTCTCTCTCTCATGTTTTCAGAATCGGCCGACTTTTCTAAAATCATGTAGTGTGAACTGGACTTAACTTAAAAGAAAAAAAAAGATTTTAGATGTATATTAAAATATGTCTCTTATATCTAAATTAGGTGAATTTGAATGAAATATTTGTGATCTGTACCCAAAATAACTGTGTTCAATGCTCTTAGCAGTGACTTTTGCTTTTTTCCCCCTTCTCTTGTCTGGTAACATTTCTCTGGAAGGTAAGAGACTCAATTGGACTGCTGTGGTTCTGAGGCATGACTGTCAGAGTTACTCCATAGGGCTTTCATGTGGCACAGTCATTCCAGAGAAAGAAAAAAGAAAAAAAATACCACTAAAATCTTCTTTTCTGTATTTTAATTAATTGGATAGAAATGATTGTAGTAAAATTTGAATCATACATATAAATTCCAATGTATTTATATATATGAGTATATATGCATACATAAGTTACACAAAAATCTTTAGACTTTTCTCTAACAAAACCTCCAGTTAACATCAAAAATATTGTTTTAAATCATTTATTGAAGTGATGTAGCTGACTTTTGACGACCTCTGCAAACTTTAACATTTGGCACCAATTTCATTAGAAATGAAGTAGATGGAGGGCCCATTTTCTCTCAGATCTGCAACATTCCCAAAGTTTTCCAACCACGCTCACTGACCGCAACAGTATAACGTCCATCAAAAAAACTCTGATTGTTAGCAGAAGGAAACTGACTCTTAATGCCTCCTTAGTTTGACCTTTTTCTGGGGTAAATTTCTACTCTGGTAAATACAGGGGAAATGAAGTGGGAATAATATTTGTGCTAAATATTTTTCTGCTTCCAGGGAAAAGTTCCTACTGTGGAAATATTCCACTTCATCAGGGAAAAAGAATTTGAAAAAGATAGTGATTTCTCTCACCAGCAGTTTCAATCTCTCTATTCTGTAGATTTAAAACTTTTCCTGTTCTTGTTCTTCTAATTTTACTCCTGAATCATGTTTCTCATGATGGTTTTTGTTGCTGTGGGTGTGAACTGTCTGCTTCATTACAACCACAGCTCACCATAAACAGTTGATTGTCCAGCTGTAGTGTAAACTAATGTAATGTTTTACAGCTGTTTTACTCTTTCATTGTGCTATGGCAGTTGACCAGTTGACCTATTGTTTAGCGTTTTTGCTCACTTGAAAGCGCATAGTACACTTTGCTCCCCCTGAATAAATTTCTCTGGATAAATTCTAAAGCAGTAATTTACTTGGATGTTTTGTACATTTTCAGTTGAATGAAGATTGAAATGAAAACTGTGCTGAAGTTGTTTCACTTATGGACTGTTAAGTAGATGGACTTTTTTTTTTCCTCTAGGGGTTTTTTGTGGGCTCTAGTGTCCTTTAAGACAGTAGTCTGGCAGGAAGGAGGTAAGGAGAGGGGGGAAGACATGTGGCAAATATTGTCTGGTCCTGGAATCGAACCCGTGACGGCCGTGTCGAGGACTCAAGACCTCTAAATGTGGGTTGCGCTGTCCCCTACAGTATGCCACCTCGCACACCCCGTAGATGGACGTCTATGTTCATGCTCTTATTTTCAAGTGGATTAAGTCTCTCTTATTTTCCCTAATAAAGTTATTTCAAACAAGAAACATAAATGAGCAAATAGAAATACAGACATTAGAGAACAAGATACAAACATGATCTATAAGGGCATCATAGAACATGTCAATTGTAATGTGAAAATGAAATTGGAGCTCGAGGGTTCCAGCCCTAACCCTAACCCTTAGCACAATGTTGAAAGAAAAAGAAAAAAAATCACCCACATTCAAAATGAACTATAGAAAAGAGGAAAAAAAAGTAAATGGCCAGATATAATTTCAATTAAAGTTGTACTTTAGCATTAACTTCTGCTAAAGACACTGTTGGTGTAACTTTTTTTTAGTACAACTGATATTTCTGATTGGGGTTGAACATTTTTACAAGATAAAAATATTACTGGGTAATTATATGTCACTGGAAGACGTTGACAATGTGTAAGCATGCAACTATAGTCTTAAGAAGGACAAACAAAAAACATACTATTAAGATAAATGACAATCTTTTGCACATCTGCTAGAATCTGCCCAACAGGAAGCAGAAAAAGCATTTGACATGGTGCTGTTTGAGGAATTGTGATGCCATAAAGAAAAAAAATCAACATTAAAGACAGCATGCTGCATGACTACGACACACTGATGCACGTTCCACCGAGGAACTCACATAAACTTTATGAGCCCAGAACCACTGAGCTCAACATACGGCCAGCGTGTTGAGATGTAAACACACACCCACACATAATTCTTTGTTCACAAATATACATCATTCTCAAAGCATGCTCAATGCACACCTCTAAAACCTGCAGCTCATATTGTGCTGTGCAACAAGAGCAAACTCTGTAATGTTTACATTTGACTTATAGCTTGAAAATGATTCTTAAGAGGGGGCTAAATATGAATAGTGATACAGGTAAAGTTTTTCTCCACTTTGAGTGAAGAGTCAGGTGCAAACTGCGCTGAGCTAAACTTTGAGAGATGCAGCCGCTTCAGTGTGCTAGGTGGCCAATGTGCAGAGACGCCAGCGGTGTGATATCTGCGCGCTGCCAGCCTCATGCCTTGTTACTACATAAACCCTTCTTCAGGAATATTTCTGTTCTGATTCTGCTGTTGAAATGCTCAAGGCAGCAAAGATCCTATAGTTCAGGGTTACTGGTGTATAAAAATAAAAAATTCAAAACTATTTTTACGTTTTTATTTAAAAAAAAAGCAAAGTTCAGCAGCTTGCCTGACTTATCGTACACTGGGGGAAATTCTGAACTCAATCTGCATTTTTTCCCTCTTTTTCCAAATGTAGCAGGGTGCCCACACTGACACAGACTGTAATTGGTCAATGTTGAACAGATTTTGCGTGAATGTGTATGTTCGTATGTTGATGCGATGTGTGGTTATTCATTCCAGCTGGTCGCTGATTTTCTCATATTGTTATTTTTGTCTTCACAGCAGCCAAGAGCCTGCTGAACAAAAAAACAGATGGTGTCAAAGTAAGTGCTCTCTGCCTCTGGTTTCATCACTGCTTATATATTCTCACACTTAACCCTTAGCACTCATTCACTATTGTTTGGCTCTGATATTGTTATGATGTTGTTAATGAAATTTGGATTTCCTTGTTTAAATCTTTGAGTGGCTGTGAAACCTTTTCTCTCTGAAGATTTGCCTCACATGGTCAATGTGTGTCAGCAAAGAAAAAACTTCTACAGTCAGGAAGACAGCTGGGAATGAATAACTGATGATTGACGTCTTCATTTCTGTCACTGTCCTCTCTGCTTCCTGACAGGAAAGGAAAACCCTCCACTCATGCTGAGATAGTGTGTTTGCCTCATACAGCTGCTTCTAAACCAGACTTGATTTCACCCATTTAGGATTGTGATGAGTCAGCAGAGCTTCTCTCTGTCCAATTAGAACTGCAGCTTTGTTATTTTTTGTTGTGCAATGAGCTCAATTAAACTAAATCTTGGTGTAGATGGTCTGCTTTAAACTGATCCTACTTGTGGAGCTCATTCCTTGTTTACTGCTTTTGATCACTTTGAAGACATTGAGCACACCAGACTTCTTCTAAATAAATCTTCCCAGATAATAAAGTTCCACATCTGTGTTGATGTTTTTTTGTTATTGGCTGCTGAGAATTCTTCAAATAGTTAGACACCTATGCTCTTATTTTGAAGAAAGTGAAGACAGTTCACGAGAGTTGAGTGATTTGACTGTCAGTTTCCAGTCCAAACACAATGTCTGTCCTTCCTTTCTTCCTTCCCTCCGTCCGTCTTTCCTTCCTCCTTCTTTTTTTTCTTCCTTCCTTCCTTCCTTCCTCCTACAGCAGTGAATGTTTGGACACTAAGCCTGGTAATCTTTGCCCTGTTCTTCAGTTTCTACTCTCACATGGTTCCATCTATCAGTTCTGCTGCTGTTGTAAATCTCCCTTTTCTTTGCCTGCCATCACAGATGTATATTAATATTGCCTCCTAACACTGTCACTTTGCACCAACCTGCTGCTTTTGTCCTGCTGGGATCCTTTCAAAATAGGAGCCTCAAACCACTGTTATCCACAATCCAGCTGATGGAAACAAGGTATCCAGCTGATCTGAAGTTGTAGTTTTCTACTGCCCTGCTGCTGAGAGCCAAGCTGTCTTTACTGCTGCTTCTGAACATTTTGTGTTCTGTTGGTTGTGAAAACTTCATGTCATGTGAGAAAATGTCTGCACGCAAAACTGTTTTATGTTTTTTTTTTCAGTTATAAAATGGATTGTATTTCCAAAGTAATTCATTCATTCATTCATTTGTCTAAATCACAGAATGATTCTTGCTTCCCATTTCAGTGTGTTGAAACTATATAAAGCTCTATCATTATGACATCAGTCATACAGTTTTGAGACAAAAGGATTATGCATGCTTGAAACAACATGGGAACCATGCAATGACATGAATACCAAACTGTTCCTGTTCAGATCAGCACAAGCACATCTACCATGTGTTGATCGTAAGCTTGTGCAGACAGTTTCATCACGTATAATTAATAAACTCATAAACTGACATTGTGGGAACACATGCATGCTTGTTTTCAAGCTTTGTGCTTTGCTGTTACCTGATGGTGTGCTCGGTCTTGGTGTAGTATACATTAAATGTTGTTGTGCATAGTATGTTTCAAATGACTATACCAAATAAAAGCTTGACACATATCACATTTATCGCTAGATTAATAATCATCTTTTTTTTATTTTATTAAAACCACCTAATGTACATGCTTGAACAGGTGATCCATTTTTCTTTTCATATTTTTGTAGTAACTTTATTATATTTAGTTAATAATAATAAATTTTATTTGTAACGCACCTTATATTTCAAAGAAATTTCAAAGTGCTACAGAGACGAGAATAAATTGTAGTTTACAATAAAACATACAATAATACATCTCACATCAAGTGGTACAAAATTAAAACTAACAATTAAACATTCAATAGGCTAGGCTAACATTAGCAGATATGACTCACTAATAAATAGAATTTTTTGCATTCTTTCACAATATGCTTACTGCAATATTTGCTCATCTACTTTGTACGCAGTTAAAAATGTCCATTTAAATTTTCAAATATATAAATTTTAAGATCCTCAGTGAAAACGTGTTTATTCTTCACTCTTTGGTGCAAAAAAACGATTGAAAAACGATTTATTCACTGCCTAATTGTAGCTGTTTGTGTAAGGTTGAGATGAAACTGCACATGAAAACAGTCCTTTGAACCATTCAGACCAATAAGAAACACATTCAAAACTGTCTGATGACTCATCGTCCCATTATAATAACTCAGAAATAATCCAAATGGTTTGGGTGTCATTTTTGATTTCTTTCCTACTTACAGAAAGTTTCTGTTTATATCATAGGTTCATGGTGCATTTCTATCCTAAAGAAAAAGATATAAAGCTTCAGATATTTCACAATGAGAAATTAACAAACACAAAAAAAACCTTACAAAAGCCTGATATAGCAGAAAATACGATGGGCACCGTAAGAAAGGCTTACATTATTCAATTACGCCGCATGAACTGATTGGTACAGTATTGTGGGGGAACGCAAAACCTATTGAGTTAACACAATACGTTTGTGTTACCCCAAAGTAATGCAAAAGTATTGCGTTCCCTCGCTAAAGAAAAAAAATGTCCCCTAGGAGGCGCCGTAGATAGCAGTTCTTTAATAGAGATAACATTTAAAAAATAATGTTTAGCTTCTGTCTGTGCAGCTGTTTCTATCGTACGGAGCAGATCACATGACACAGAGAGAAAGGAAGCTGAAACAGTCGATACGGTTTCACTGTGAATGTTGCTGTGAAGGGTAAAAAATCATAAGCATTAGTCCAAAATATAGTTATGAAAGCCACACACAGAGACAATCATTTATTCTGAGGTTGCTGCACACCATAAAGTTCAGCTTCATCATCGATTCCAATGCTGATATTTTGGATTCACCATGTTCTGGAAACATCACACAAACTCAACCTAAAGCAGTCTTGTTTGGAAGAGACAAAAATGACAAATGTCAAGTGTAGGTTCAATTTAAACTCTCCTGTCATTTATTGTGTCAAATTTCAATAATATTTCTCAATGCTGGTGTAATTAGTAAGATTTGGATACCACAGAACTCTGACCATCACACCTATTCTTTCATCGCTTGAAGCTAAACCATCATCATATAATATCATTTCTTTGCACCCTCTTTGTTTAATCCTCCACTAGATAACTTTAAGATGACCAATCTGATATCTGGCTAAGCCTGGTGCCTGTTCTCAGCTTTTCTTTGTGATGAATAGTTTACTGTATACATGAAGAACACATGCTCATATTTGTGCTTTTCACAGGAATCCAGCGAGAGTGCCAACACTACCATTGAGGACGAGGATGTAAGAGGTAAGAGCCTATGGACATTTCATCTGCTTAAAACTTGGTTTGGTTTTTCTCTTGTGTGTTCAATCATTGTGTATTTTCTAATGTTATCTTTTTGTCATTACATTTTAGTCAGTTTATATGTCTTAGCTGACACATAAAGGAACATGGAGTAATTGATCTAGATGATGTATCGGTGAGTCTTGGTACATAGTGATGAACTGTTTATCTGACTGTGATGGACCGAGCAGTGAAAAGAGAGCCAGGCACAGGTTTAAATTGAAAAAGAATTGTTTTTTATTTAACCCAAAACAAAAACTTGGGTAAATAATGAAAAATGACAAAGTTTGGCCCATAAAAGAGGTCAAAGTTATACCATTCAACTCAGACTGACTCAAACAAACAGACCTACCTAAATGAGACAAAGGGGAAGCTTAAATACTGACTGATAAGGCCACATAGGACACACTGGGAAGAACGCACAAAAACCTAACTGAAGTTAACAAGAAAATGCCATTCCTCCCTTCTTTTTTTAATTTTTTTAAATAAGTATATTTCAATGTTTTTGACAAATGAACAAATACAATACAAGAACAAAATAACAATCCAGCTCTTATAATTACATACAAAACTATACACACATTCCTCCCTTCTTGATGATGAGTTGTCGTATGAACCAATTTGCTGTCTCAGGCTTGCTACACCCCTTCTCCACCTCTTTGTTAACCTGAAGGACTGGAGCAGCTGACACTGAGGTAACTCAAAACAAACAAAGGTTAAATCAAGCAAAACACAACAGTGAAAAATAAAATGTGCACACTTATTCCAGAATACAGTGTTATGTTACATTCTAAACAAAAACAGTTATTCTGCTAATGAAATCCTAGACTTAAAGAAACAAAATACAGTATGAATGTGGTGAGAATGTGTGGTGTGATTGGATGTTCCCACATAGCTGCAGCCATCATACTGACCTTATTATTGGGATGTTTCAGAAAGAGAAAGTGTTTCATTCAATGTTGGATCCCAGAAAGAGAAGAAAGAGAATTTAGCTTCAGTTTAAGAGGACAGTTTTGAATGAGTTTGACCATTGTCGATAATCATACAGCAATTGACCTGCTAAGTATGATAAGTATTGAACGCATCATACATAGCTCTTCCCTCGCCCATCCCTGGCTCCCTCATGTTGGGTGGGTAGTTTGCATCATCTACCAGAGTCCCAAGAGCTTCAGGACTCTTTGTAGTATGTTTTGCATTTCAAGGACTAAACTCTTCTGGACTGAGAGCTCTGTTTCTTCAGGTATATTTCAGAACATTATTTTATATAGGGTGGGGGTCACGGCCCCTAGTTCTCCAATGACCAACTGCAGTTGCTTTCAGGTGCCAGGCTTTCTTTAGGGGTGAACCCTTAGTGTTCACCCCCTGCTCTCATTTCTCTAATATTTGCATTGCTTGCGATGGCCACATGGATCATATTGGCTGTTTTTTCCAAACTGTGATGCAGTTTTTTCCAATAGAACTGAGAGATACATGTGTCAGTTGATTTAAACTAGTTTTGTGTTGGGGTAATTGGGAGGACTGGGAATAGATAATTAAGATGTGGAAGGATCTGTTTTAATTGTGGCTATATGACCGATGGTGAAAATGGAAGGTTTGTCCAGCATTTAAGGTCATCTTTAATCTTCTTAGGTAGTGAGGTTTCCTCCAAGGTGTTTTGTACTCCCATCAGGCATTGCTTATTTTCTTAAGTCTTTTTAAATGGTTACATTTTTAAGATTTTATAGCTGGTGTTCATGTACTAATCTTAGAAATCTTTTAATAACACATAATTATCTAGTGATATTTTAAAATTTCCTGTCAACTTTAAACATTTTTTAACTCAAAGGCTTAGCAAGTTTTCTGAGGGACACTTTGGGGTATGAACAAATAATTCTTACAGCCTGACGAAAGTATTTATGCCTAGCTATTTGATATTCCCATAGTGAGAGGTCATGGAGTATTTTGAGATGCAGTTTTTTTCTTCACGCTCTATCAGAGTGGAAGGATAATGGATTTTCCCCAGTTTACGATGTAGTCTGAAATTTTGGAAAAGTAATTAATGACATTAAAAGTTTCTTGGAGAGAATTATGTGCATCATGTAAAAACAACAGGATATCATCTGCATATAGACTTTTGAGTCACAGATTCCTTTGGTTTTGTTATTTTTCATTTTTGTTACAGCAAGTGGCTCAATGAAAAAGAACAAACAGAAGGTGAGAGTGGGCGTCCTTTTCTAGTTCCTGTATGGAGAATAAACTGACGTAATTCCATTTGTACTTAATGTGTCTGTGGGTTCAGTATACAGTGTTTTATTCACCTGATGAATGACTCTCCAAATCAAAATGTTTCTAAAACCTTGAGCAAGAATTTCCTGTTCAATTTATAAAAGGCTTTCTCTCCATCTGATGGAACTATTCCAGTTTTTCGACACGTAAAATCAGTTGGGTTTTTGTTTTTGGTAAAGCTGGCCGCTGGCTAGGAGGGACTGTGTGGATTTGACCTGCAATTAAGTGAAAATCTATTGAATATCTGAAATATAGCTCAACATCCAAGCAAATGTCAAAGTTCTGCACTTTGATATTCAACTAATGTTTGGGCTTTTAGGATCATTTTATTCAATGTTGAGCACTTTTACTAAATGTGCTTAAACAAACAGCAAAGGTTGCATTAACTACTGGGATTCACAGCAGCAAATAAGTAGCAAAAAGGCTCCAAGTTTAACAATAGATGTGGAAGAACTCAAGCTGTTATTGAATGTCATGTCAGAAGAACTGAATACGGTGGTGAAGCAACAACAAGCCTGATGCGTTTCAGTGCAGAAATTTAACAACTGAAAGCAATTGTCAAAGAAACAGATGAGAAGATAGAAGAGTTGGGAAAAAGAATGGAGGACCTGGAATAGTTTGCAAGAAAGGAGGACTTGGTAATATTGATCACAACTACATTTTTTTGTTTGACATAATTTTTTTTGATTGAATAATTGTGAAACAAGTTGACATCAGGATATTTAAGGAGATAATTATTAAAGCAGCACCATGTGGATGTTCTATTACATTATTTAATGAGCAAAGTAAGAGATAATATTGTACTGAAGGTTCAGTTTGTTGAAAAAAACATCAATTTTTGAAAACAACTTCTGGGTTACAGAGTAACGCGTTCAATTTGTGGGATTATTTATTCTCCAGCTATCGCCAAGTCTGTCAGATTTTGTATATTGATTTATTCTTTGAGTGAAGTGTCAGACTTTGGAATTATATAAGTTTGATCTATTTTGGGGTTAATAACAGTATTAAAATCTCTGCATATTATAACATTTGCTAAATCACTAATAAAAGGGACATTATGAAAAAAAGGTCAGGCTTCATCTGGTCCATAAAATCCTTGTTATCAAAACAAAGCAAAATCCTGCTCTGTCTCAAATAAAAATTAAAAATATAACACAGCCAGATATGGAATATTACTCAGTGGCATCATCCATCCACTCCTTATTAAGAGCAGGACAAAGCACACGGTCCATAAAGAGACTGGCAATCAGGTTCCCTCAATTGGCTCCAGTCTTCGGTCCCTTCAGTCTCGCACGCTTGGCCTCCTCAGGCTTCATCACTATATAAATGAATTTATAGAGTGATGATTATGAATTTACCAAGAGTATCCACTATCGGTTTAATGTAGTTAAACTTAATTTTGTGGAATGAAATTGATACACCTCTTTGTCTTGTAGTGTACATTGACAAATAAATATGGCTGTACTGATTAAATTTGAGACTTTTTAATTTTGAATTTAAAAGATGGATTTTTTGTAAAACTTGTCTTTTTTCAGATTTTCTAGGTGAATTCTTTTGGCCAGGGTTTTCTAAGATGCCAGTTTTAGTTCCTACATATTTGGATGTTTCTGTTTGAATGTATGAAGCGGTGTTCTACTGATATACATTGTAGGGAACCCTAACCCCTAACCTAACCCTATTGTAATGTATTTGTTGATGATCAGGATTTCTAGAAGCCAGGATGTTTCTGCATGGAGTGTACCTCACCTCTCATCTAAGGAACCAACCTTTTTGAGACGCTGCACTAAGAATGGATGAGTGGAAAACGTTTTTCTTTTCTCAACAAAAACTGGACGTGCCACTATTTAGTTGAGAAAAGTTTTTTGTATGAAATGATGAAGGAATGAATGGGTGTATCCAACTTGGCTCTGTCGTCCTGGTCCTTTTCTCTGACCATTCCACTGCATCCCTCTGTGGTCCCAAGACCTGACAACTGCACATTTATATTTGTGATTTATTTTTTTTTTGATGAATTTCAATTGTCAGGAAAAATGTTGCCCTAAAAACTGACAGTGTCATTGGAAATAGCCAGCATAGTGCATCAATACAGTGGGTTGCCAGATCTGTATCATTTGTGAACAGCCGTTCCTAGATTGTTCTGTTGGGGAACCTCCCATCACATGACGTGATGCAGCATTACGGCGCTGCAGGCTTCTCAGAGCCACCATTTCGGGGAGAAAGGGTTCCATAACTGTCTTCTGCTTCCCGTTGTTTGTGTGGTTTGTTCCTTGCTGGTTAACGAGTGAAGAATAAATTGTCATTTTCTGCTCATACTGCATGCATTACTTTATGTTTACCATATTTCCATCTCATTTTCTTTGTCATCCCTGTTGCATCTCCATCTCATTTCCCATCATCCTCAGCACAGTCTCCTTACTCTAGTCACCAAATCTTCCACCTGAAGGACCTAAAGTACTCAGCCTCTCCCACTTTGCTATCACATTCTTCGTCCTCCTCCTACTCTTCTTTTTCCTCCTGCTGGTATTCTCCAAGCATTTGGTCGAGTGGTGAAGAGTGCAGCCAGTTGATCCTGTGGTCACTGATGGCTGCCTACCTGCTCCTTTTCATCACATCTGTCCTCCTGGTCCTTTTCTCTGACCATTCTACTGCATCCCCCTGCGGTCCCCAGTATGCCCCCACACAGGGCACTGACACCCAGC